GTGGTGGCACACGACACGCTTTGTTCTGAGCTTTGTTTTCTGTCACTTCACGTGCACCTGGGGGTGGTTCCATGTCAGGGCGAGGACAGCCGCCCGTCCGGACGTTGCGGCAGCTCATTGCCTGCTGGGGCTGCGAATCCCTGCGTCACTTGTGCCCTGTCTCTTGTTGGTGCACATTTCGGCGGCCTCTGGTGTCCTGACTGTGGGAGTGACTTTGTACACACACTTTCTTTTTTTGTTTTTTTTTTGAGACAGAGTCTCACTTTGTTGCCCAGGCTAGAGTGAGTGCTGTGGCGTCAGCCTAGCTCACAGCAACCTCAAACTCCGGGGCTCAAGCGATCCTCCTGCCTCAGCCTCCCGAGTAGCTGGGACTACAGGCATGCGCCACCATGCCCGGCTAATTTTCTCTCTATATATTTTTAGTTGTTTGGCTAATTTCTTTCTATTTTTAGTAGAGACAGGGTCTCGCTCTTGCTCAGGCTGGTTTTGAACTCCCGAGCTCAAGCTATCCTCCTGCCTTGGCCTCCCGGAGTGCTAGGATTAGGGGTGTGAGCCACCGCACCCGGCCCAGCCCGTGTACACGCACTTTCTACGTGGATTTCTCTGTGTCGATGCGTGTTAGGCGTGAAGTTGCTGAGTCACGCACCAGAGATGCTGGCAGACGTCGCCAGACTCCCTTCCAGGGAGGTGGTGCCACTCTAAGCCCACATCAGCAGGGTGCGTGCCTTCCAACCACCTTGGGTGGCAGGCCTTTGGAAACTCCAGACACACACTTCCCAGTGTTGTTTTTAATTTGCGTTTTCTGGAATCTTCAGGGTATTATAGGCTCAGAACCTTTGATTCTTCCTCTTTCCCTTTTTCCTCCTTTCCCTGCTCATGGACACCGTGTGAGGGGATTTTCCAGGTCCTGGCGCAGAGTGGAGGAGTCGCACGTGGGCCCTGTTCTCCCAGAGCTCCTAGTGCAGACACAAAAGCAAGGGCATGACATGAGGCGCCAAATTAGGCACGGCATTGCCCTCCCGGCCAGGAACCGAGAGGCGCATCTGGGTCACTGGTGAGGCCTGGGCTTGTGGGTGGGACTTTCTCCAGCTGCGGGACTGGGCTACCTGCTGACTTTCGAGAAGGCAAGTCATAGCCCCGGGGAGGGGTGGGCGGGAAACAAGGACGTGTGGGTGGGTGACAGTCAGCGGGCTGAGCAAGGAAGCGGGGTAGGGGGATGGCCAGGAGACACTGGGGGTCTTTATGGTGGCAAAGGACAGGTTGTGACAGAGACAGTTGTCGGCGATCCCCAGCCTGTCCTCCCCTGCCCATGTACCCTCTATTTATAGCTAGGCACATCTCCCAGCTTCCCTTGCAGCTTTGTTGTGACTCAGTCACAAGAAGATGTATGTTAGAAGGGACAAGGGCAGTTTTGGGAAAGGGTCCTTAACAGGCAGAGACGTGCCCTCTTTTGCTACTTCTTCCACCTTCCGGCTGCAGGAACATAGGTGTGATAGGTGGATGTGAGCAGCTCTCTTGGCCTGTGAGGAGGCAGGAGAAAGCTATGGAAGATGCCCCAGTGGCAAGACAGATTTAGCTCAGGACCCTACCGCCACAAAGCCACCCGCCCTGGACCGCCTGCCTCTGGATTTCTTTGAGGTGAGGGAAACAAAACCTCCTCTTATTTTAGGTCAGTGTTACCTTCTGTTCTATTTGGACACACGCGGCTGGACTCGATCCTAACTGGGACACTGTGGCAGAGTGGAGGGGGCGCCGGCAGCCAGTGGGGTGGGCCGAGGTGGCAGTTTGAAGGGTCTGGGTCAACACAGGCGGGATGCTGACAAGGTCCGAGGGGGGCCTGAGCAGGGCACGGGTGTGGCCGGAATCTGGAGGCTGCAACACGGACCCTGACACCCCGGAGCTGGAGTGGAGCGGGAGGCTGGGAACCAAAGCCAGAGCTACCGGGGGGGGGGGGGGGGGGGGGGGGGGGGGGGGGGGGGGGGGGGAGGGGCATGTGGGAGACGCCAGGGCAGAGGAGGGCACAGCCCGGCTTGGCCCCCAAAAGAGGCAGCCCTGTGATGGGTGAGGGGAGAAGTCACAGTCAGGAAGGGACACCAGGGCCAGAAAACCCCTGTATGTGCTTGTCCCAGGGCCCCATGAACGCAGGGTCCTTGGGTGGGGGCCGGGCTCAGTGGTGGCTGAGCTGGGGGCCGTGTCCCTGAAAGCTGAGGGCATGGGCGGTGTCTTCACCGTGGCTCTCAGGAGGACATAGGGGGAGGGACAGTGGGGTGCGAAGGACACAGGAGAAGCAGTTGTAGGAACGAGAGTTGGGGTGCTGGGAGGGGCCCTGCCAGAGGAGGCTGAGTCCAACCCCGGGCCCTCCTGAGACTGAGGTGAGGCCCCTCCATCTGGATTATGTATCAGGCTGCCTCCCAGAGAATCTGCAGTCCTCTGGGACAGACCCAGGTTCTGACCCCGGCTCTGCCGCATGCTGGTAGGAGGACGGCTGTGCCTCGGTTTCCCTGCCTGGGAGACATGAAGGAAGGAGCAGCTCAGCCGTATAGACCCATTGGCCTGTCGATGAACAGCAGGAAAGCCTGAGCTGGACAGCCAGGGACAGCGAAGGGGACAGGCTGAGAGGTGAAGGCAGGGCCAGCTCCTGGGGGACTTTTAGAGCAAGACTGAGAGTTTGGATTTATCATAAATGTCCTGGGAGTGACTGGGAGTGCAATGACCTGGTCGGGGTTTGGGAAAGATAGCTCTGGCTGCTGAGTGGAGGACTGGCTGGAGGGTCAGGAGCTGCAGCAGGGAGACCGGGCTGGCGGCCACTGTGGGCCTGGGGGGCGGGAGGTGACAGGATCTGGGCAGGGCGGGGTGGAAGAAACCAGGTTCTTGTCTCTGCACACACCTGCCCAGCACCCAGGCCCTCGGCCTCCGCCTGCACCCCATGCCTTCCTCAGCTGGTTTTGTGTGCAGCTCACGCACCCAAGGTGACGCCCGCCTGCCAACCGCTGAAACAGGAGCCCCCACTCCACAGAGGTTTATTTTGGCTCTGTCACAGCCCAGTGTGGACTGTCTGAGGGTGGCTTCCCCGGACTATGGCAGGGGAGGGGAGACGGAGGAAGAGGGAGGGGGAGGAGGAGGGGAGAGGAACGGGGAGTAGGAAAAAGGAAGGGAGAGAAAAGAGGACGGAAGGTGGGTTTTTCCAGGCTTGGAAATAGAATAAATCACTTCTTCCCACATCCTATCGCCAGACCCCGTCCGGGCCCCACCTGACTGCACGGCTGGCTGGGAAATGGAGTCCAGCAGGTGTGGGGAGGACAGGGGCTCCGGGTGTGGGCAGCAGGTCCCCACATTCTCTCTCATTCCACGCGTGCCCCTCCTATGTGCTGCCACGGCCGTGCAGGGCTCCGCAGAGATGCCAGGCCCGTGCCCGTGCTCACGCTGCCCCTGCTCTGCACAGCTCCTCCTGCCTCTCCGCCTGCGGTGCCCGGACTGGGCCCTGTGGCACATGCGGGATACCCCCCTCCCGCATGGCTGATGCCAGCCCGTGGACAAAACCGTGCTGAACACGGCCGCTCGGCACGAGCTGGGTCTGTGACGTCTGGCTTTGCCTGGGGATGCTTTTGTCCCCTTATTTGTATGTGTTTTAAAAGGTTTAACTGAATTCATTTATTTGGGAGTAGCAAATATCTGCATGCGGTACGGAAGGGGCTGTAGAGAAAAGCATCCCTGCTGCCCCTTCTCCGGGCCCTCCTCCCTGGGAGCCCAGTGTTCCTGGTCTCTTGAGAAGTTTCTGAAAATAATCCCTGCTTACTAGAGCCTGGGTATGAGTTTCACTCATCGTGGCCTCTGTGTTTGTTTCTCTCTCCTGCGGCCAGCAAGCCTCGCCCTGGGGGAGGGCCGGGGCATGGGAGGCACTGGCCTGTATTGCCAGCCGACTGTGCGTGGTCACATTAGGCGCTCAGTGAACACCTCAGGGTGCAGTCTTCTCCACACACTCCCAGGAAGAAGCTGTCATCTCCTCCTTTTGCAGGTGTGCATGTCGGAGCACCATGGGGCCAAGGGCACCCAGCTGGCGGCGGCCTCGCCCTCAGGTCCCGCGACTCCTGGGCAGCCATGCCCAGCGCTGCCCCTTCCCCACTCAGCTCTGGGCTTTGCACAAGGGAGCTGGGCTTGAGTCTCTTTTGAGGGTCTTCAATTCCACTTTCTCATGTCTGCAGAGCTGCCCTCCCTGCTGCCGTCCCCTCTCCTCTTCTCGGAAGAAGCAGCAGCTTATGACGAAACCTTTCTGAAGCAGCGCTATTGAAATCAGGAGGGGGGACACAGCGCTGCTTCTGCTCGTCTCTGGGGATGGAGCCTCACAGGGTCCGCAGGCCTGTGACACTGCACATAAAGAGATGTGCATTTTTCTAAAGAGCAGTCCCCAACTTGTCATCATTTAAAAATAAAAGAGCCCTGAGCTGAACTTCACAACCATTACCCCCCCAAAAGAGGGAAAAGGATTAGGAATTATGGCTTAGAAGGAAAAGGAAAGTTCTAGAACATTCAACAAGTGGCTGTCAAATTGTTCGAAAAGCCCAGATAGTCACCTCTGGATGCTAAACTGAGTAAGGGGCTTCCTGGAAGGCAGGGTGAAAAGGGAATCTCTGAGAGATGGTGTGTGGCGGCCTGGGACAGGGGTGAGGTGCGCTGGGGACAGGCCTGGGTGCTCGCGGGGGCGTGTGTGTGACCGGATGGAGGTGTCGGCGCTGTGGGGGGCCGCATGAGGTGCGGCGTGGGTGGTGTGGGAGGGGAAGAAGGGCCTGCGCCCCTTGGACTCTGTGCAGCTGGGCCCTGTTTGAGAGTGACGTGTGTGTGTGTGTGTGTGTGTGTGTGTGTGTGTGCACGCGTGTGCCGCCACCCCCGGCGTAGGAGGCAGATCTTTATCTGGCCTCTGGGTGCTTCAGGAGTTTCAGGCTTTCTCACAGCCTGGTCTCACTCCGCCCCCCCAGCCCAGGCCTTGCCCTCCATCCCCTGCACAGGAAGTGGGCCGGCTCCGGGGTTTAGTCTCTGCCGGCCCCAGCGCTACCTGGGCCAGAGCGGAGCAGGGCCCTGGGGAGATGGCCGTGGTCCCAGCAGCGGGCAGGACTGGAGAGAGCGCGCTGCCGCAGCCCCATGTCTCAGCCAGGTGACTGCCCCACTCTGCCTCCCCCTGCCCCCCCGCCCCCCGCCAGGGACCCCTGCCTCCCTCCTGGCCCTTGTGGACCGGCTGAGGGCCAGGAGTGAAGGTCACAGGAAGACTTTGGGCTGTGACTCAGTTCCCCCCGGAGTTTCTGCCTGAGCTTCCATCCCCCAACCTCACCCCCCTGGGGACGGGGTGGGCCCAGCTGTCTCGGTTCCTGGGGGAGGAAACACCGGTTCCCAGTCCCAGGCCACCCTCCTTCCCAGCCCGCGCCGGGGGAGGCTGGGGCTGCTCTGGGACGAGGGGCTTCCCCTCCCCGTGGCCTGTGTACTGGGCCCCCAACCCAGAGGGGTGGAGGAGTGGGAGAAGGGCTGGGTGCCCAGAGAGGTGCAGGATGTGGATGAGGGGGTCGGGAGTCCCCGCTGACCTGGAGGAGCAGGGCCCACGCTGGGTGGGGGGTCCTCGCGCAGACCGCTCCGTGGGAGGCTTGTGGGGCCAGGGAGAGGGGTCCCCTCTGAGAACTGGCTACGAGGTGAGCTGTGCTGGGAGGCTCAGAGCCCTGGACTGGCCACCAGAGCCTGGGGTTCGAGTCTGGGTTTGTCCCTTCCTTGATGTGACTGACAGGTCAGCAGCGTCTCCTGGCGTTGGGGATGGGACGGCAGCCTGGAGCTCACGCCCTCTCCTCTCCTGCGGCCAAGACCTCCCACTCCTAACCGTGTCTGTAGCCCCCGGGGATGGAGTGCGGGGCTGAGCTATCCCCAAGGGTCCCCTTCCTTCCCCCACTGCCGGGATCCCACGCCCAGCTGGGGAGGTGCCCACTGGCGTTAAGCAGCAAGAGGTGTGTGTGTGTGTGTGTGTTGGGGGCGGGGCTGGAGGTGGCCAGAGGGGGTGAGGGGAGATGGAAGGGGCCCTTCGAGTTCAGAGGTCAGGCAGTACGCACCATGGGCTGCCGAGCCCCTGCTTTACCGTCCTGGCCACCACACCCCCACGTCCCAGCAGGGCCCCCAGACGCACCTAGCTGGGCTCAAATCCCAACTCTGTCCCTGTCTAGCCAGGCCAGAGGCTGGCCCGGTGCCTCGGTCTCCTCATCTAACAAAAGGAGTGACAGTAGAACCCACTCAGGCGTTGCTGTGAGGACTAAATGCTGTAACAGCCCCAAAGCGCTCGGGCAGCGCTGGGCGCAGGGAGAGCTGTCGTTGTCAGCCGCCAGCTCTGTGCTCAGGCCCAGAGTCCTGGGCTCCACTCACTCCCACCAGAGGCTGGGCTGTCCCTTGCTGTGTGACCCCAAGCAGGTCCCTTAACCTCCCTGAGACTCGGTTTCCTCCTTGCAGAATGAGGGTGCAGCCTCCCTGGCTGCCGGGAGCCCCAGCTCTGGCCCCGGTGCCCTCTGTACGCCCCTGCACCCCTTTGGCTGCGGGCGCAGGAGTGGACTCCAGGCGTGCTGTCTCCTGCCCGCCTCACCCTTCTGCTGGGGCCTGTGGTTTGGCCCTAACCTTCCTTGACCTTGTGCCCTGTGCCCCCTGCCCCCTTCCTGTCGCCCTGGGGCTCTCTGCCTGGTCCCGTCCTGGGCATGAGGTCATCCTGATAGCGGGGCCCGCCCTGGGGCGACACCCTCACAAGGATCGGCCCCAGGGCAAGGCTTATGTGATTGGCATGAAAGAGGCGTAGGAGGGCCCTGGGGGAGCCCCCTTGCTGGGCTCTGCATTCTTTGGGGTCTCAGCCTGTGCCCTGTGCTATTGGAGGATACAAAGAAAGAGGCAGCCAGCCCCTAGCCTGGGAGCTTGCCCTCCTGTGGGCCTGGCGGGCCGGGCAGGGCGAGCCCACCGGTGCTCTCTGGGCTCTTCTCACACCCAGGACGAGCCCCGGCCAGCAGGCCGGTGCCAGGGCAGGGAGGCCGCCAGCCTTACCCCTGGGCCCGGCATCGGGGCAGGTGGGGCATGTGAGAACGGGCGTTGGGCTGGAATCCCAGCTCTGCCTCCTACCATGTGTGACCCTGGCTGAGTTAGTGACTGGGAGCCTCAGGCCCCTCATCCGTGGATAGTAATAGCACCCACCCCGGCTGCCGGGCAGATTAGGTGAGCGAGCGTGTGTGGAGCACCTGGCACAGGGCCTGGCACTGTGAGCATCGCTGCTCGGTCATCAGTCCTGCTGTCGCTTGAACTGCCGTGGGAAGGTGTGTCGGAGGGGGTGTGGGGGAGAGACTCTGCCTGCGCCCGGGCAGTCTGCCCTGGTGCACGCTCTAGGTCTGCCTCTTACTAGCCGTGTGATTTTGGGCAATGTGCTTCACCGCTTTGTGCCTCAGTTTCCTCGTCTGAAAATGGGGATAGTAAGAGTTTCTCTACCAAGTGCTCTCATTGCTGCACTGAGAGAGTTTAAACAGAGCCTGGCTTACAGTAACCTGTCCCTCGATGGTTTGGGGTGTGGCTAAGGGGGTGGAGTGGAGGTGAGTTCTACCCCCAGCTCTGTGCCATGTGACCTTGAGCAACTCTTTCCTGTTTTGGGGTCTCAATGTCCCCAGCTGTAGAACAAGGGGTGGGCTTGCTCAGAGAGCCCTTCCAGCCCTTTCGGCTCTGACAGCATGCGGGTTCTCAGCTCCATACCTTCCTGTGACACCTGTCTTGGGAGATGGCACCCAGGCTGCTGGGTCCCTGCTCCATGCTGGCTCTGATGTCAGCTATGAGAAGGCCCAGTGCCACCCAAACAGCCCTGCTTTTTTTGCAGTACTGGAGGCCTCTGATCACATTTGTTCATTTAACTGCATTTATCGAGCACCCACTGTGTGCCGGGCCCCGGGCGCGTGCGCTGTAGTCTGTGGAGCGAGCACGCTGCTGGCCAGCCCTGCTGCTGACCGCAGGGAGGAAGGAGGGGCTCAGGGGAGGAGGCCCTCACCCTCCACTGGAGAAATCAGGGGGGCTTCATGGAGAAAGAACAGAGGGGGAGTTTGAAATGGGCCTGGAAGGATGGCGGGCTGTGTGGGGGTAAGGAGGGAGATGGACTTGGGAAGGACTTGGGAGGACAACCTTGGCTTCCTGGCTGCCAGCGCGCTGGCTCATGCAGGCAGGTGGATGTGGCGTGTGCACCTTCACTCAGGTGCCTGCACCTGCCACTGTGCAAAGGCAAAGGCTGCAGGGACTGGCTGTCCCAGTCTGGGTCCCAGAGATGTCTGGAAAGCAGGAATTTAGGCTATGGTTGTAGACGGGCGGCCACAGGTAGCTGGGCGGGGAGGGGGGCTTTGGGAAATGCAGCCAAGTGGCTGTAGAAGAGGCCATGCCATCGCCCAGGCTGGAATGGCACTGCGCTGGCTGCGAGGGTGGAGAGGAAGAGACAGCAAGTTGTCACTGGGCTGTCCTGTCCTTAGGGCATCCCGGCTGGCTGGGTGAGGGGGCAAAGGGGACAGAGCACAGACACCAGGACAACAACGGTGCAATTGTCCCAGACCTGAGTCAGGCTAGAGGGAGTGGCGGGTGAGCTGGGCTTTCGCTGGGGGTCCCACAGGCACTGGGAGGGGGGTGGAGGCTCGGGAGCTGCTGAGTTGGAGAAAGGAGCTGAGGTTGCGGCCAGGGAGACTCTCAGAGGGGGAAGGAAAGGGGGAGAGCCCCCAGGGGAAGGGGGCAACAACACCCAGGGGCCTTGGCCACACTTGGGATCAAGGAGCAGGACGTAGGGGGGACATACCACCTCCTCAGCGCCTCTAGACTAACCTGCTTCTCCCTCTGCCCCCCCCCCACTAGGGCCACCGTATCCTCTCTCTGGAAGCCCCTCCTCGTCTCCCTGCCTCCTTAGCCCACCCTCCCGGCATCAGTCCCAGGTCCCCTTACCTTTCCAAAGTGACCATCTGCTTGCTTTCCCCACTCCCCTCCCCAGCCCCTCCCAGCTCCTGGGGGGGGGCGGCAGTTGCACTTCATTGTCATTTCCCTGGACAGGTCACAGCTGTGCCTCTCCCCTGGGCTGAGCGGGAGTCTCCGTGGTGGGGCTAGAAGCACTCTGAGAAGAGTCTCTGGCAGAGACACCTGTAGTCACTGGGCCTCCCTCGAAGCCCCCTTGCTGGGAGAACAGTGCCTTCGTTGTCGCAGCGGGAAGGCGACTGGCCAGGCCCCAGAGGCTTTGGCGGCAGACATTTCCGGGTGCGGATCTTGGAAGACAGGGACAGGGACGATTGTCTGGGCTGACGCCTACAAAAGCACCGGCCCTGGCTCGTGTTTAACAGACACGCAGGGAAACCTGGGCTCCCCCTGCAAGGCTGGGCTAGGGATTTCGAGTTTCTTTCTCCCCTGGGCAGTGGCCGGGCCCCTGGGCAGCCTGCGGGGAGCTTGCAGGCAGGTGGCTGGAAACGCACGCCTACCTCTGCCCCTCGCTTTCCTCCTCTGCAAAGTGGGGACCACAGAAGTGCCGCCTCATAAGGTGTCGTGAGGATTAGATGAATCAACACACGTAAAATGTTTAAAAACAGTGTCCGCCAAGCGTCAGGTATTACTATCATGAGATTACCATCATGATTTCCCTTTTTGGAGCTAAATGCCACGTTTCTGTGTTTGCCTAATGTTCCCCCCGCTTCCTCGGGGCTGGATTTTAGGTCCCTCGTCACAAACAGTCCACCTTGAACACGGGGTGCTCGAGGTGCCTGAGAGTGTCTGATCCCGGAGTGAGACTGGGGTGCAGTGGCCCCTTGTGCCATGGCCGGGGGCCGTCCTCCTACTCCCACCTGCTCCCCCTCCCACCAGCAGCGTCCCTCCAAGCAAGGGACTGTGGGGTTCCCTCCTGCCCCCAGAGCCGCCAGAGCAGGGGTCGGCCTGGTCCTTGGCACTCTTCAGTGTTGACGTCAGAGCTCCTGTCTGTTGGCAGCTTCTCTTTGCAAGGTCGCGCCTTGCTGCCTTCAAACCATTCCCTCCCTCGAGGGGGCGTGACGGGCAGAGGCGGGGATAGCCGGGAGCCCTCGGAAGCCCGTTGCCGTTGCTGGCTGCTGCCAGCTCTGCCCATATTAGTTCGACCCTCTGTTCATTCTCTATTTTTTTTTTTTTTTGGCGGTTGCTTACCATGTGCCAGACACTGTTCCAGGAACTGGGGACCTGGTAGTGGACAAAGCACAAAACCCCGTCCTCGCTGTGCTACGTGACAGCGTGTGTGTGTGGAGAAAGGGAGAGAGAACGATTGAATAAATAAGCAAATAGCACCGCGATGAACAATACAGTACTGTTTAGAGAGGGCAAGTAACAAAGGGTGCTTTTAAAATGTAGTCTGGTCCGGGAAGACCTCTCTACGGAGGTGACATTTGAGCAGAAACTTGAAGGAAGGAGTGTGGGCAACGGGGCGGTGTGGGGCGCAGACCAGGCAACCCTGGGGCGCAGGGCCCTGGGGTGAGTATTCACCTGCTCTCTCCCCCCTCCTCCCCCAGGGCTCCCCTCCCCTGCTCCACCCTGTGGATGTGATGGCGGCCCATGCCCTGTCCTGGTGTCTGTCCCTCCTGGTCCTCCTGCCCCTGGCTGCCTGCCGGCCGTCTGCAGCAGTGAACGGTGAGGACCCGGGCGTCTGGACAGCTGTGCTTCCCTGGGGAGGAGGCCAAGGCCCTGCTTCTGGGCAGCAGGTCCCTGAGCAGGGCAGGAGGGGAGGGGAGGGGAGGGGAGAGCTCGGGTGTCCACCTCCTGCCTCGCCCTTTGCCCTGCACACCCCCTCCCTGCCTGCATGCTCGCACTCGCCGCTTTCTCGTCCCTGCCCTGCCTGGGTCTGCCCGCGTGAACGTGCAGGCCCTGGCTGTGTCCTCCTCTCCGACACGGTCCCACTAACCCCTTCTCTGCCCCCAGAGCCGCCTCTGGCAGGCACGGGGTGCCCCCAGGAGGGGCGGTGGGTGTGCCGCAGAGGGCCAGGGGGGCCCTGCAGCCGGCCACTCACGCCTCTCCTTGCCCGGCAGACACCGCCTGGCTCACGTGCTTCTACAACTCGAAAGCCAACATCTCCTGTGTCTGGAGCCGGGGCGGGGGTCTGCGGGGCACCTGCCACATCCATGCCCAGTCCAACAAACGGTGAGTGAAGAGCCTTAGGAAGGCGGGGTCGTATAATCAGGGACTTTCAGACTCTCGGAATCCTAAACACTAGACTATGGGCATCTGCGCTTTGCAGAACTGAGACCCACGGCCTCTTAGACCCGCAGGAGTTGGGGGCACACCTAGGAGCAGGGCATTGTTTATGAGAGTGTGGGGGTCAGATAGCTAGACTCTTGAACCCGGGTGGGTTCAGGCTGCAGTGCAGGGGCTGGGGACAAGCTGGACAAAGTGGTTTGGGGACATTGAGCTTTGAGGCTGCTGTGCCAAGGCTGGACTCCACTCTAGAGGCAAGGGGGGGGGGGAGAGAGGTTCTCCCCAAGCTTTTTAAGAGCAGGGATTTTGAGAGACCCACAGGCAGCTGTGGGGAGAAGGGCCTGGGAGGTGGTTGGGGCGCCTGGGGGCTGGGGTGTGGCTGTGATCCAAACGTCCAGGTGGCAGGTGAGCAAGGTCTGCGCCCAGGCAGGTTTGGTGGGGACAGGCAAAGGGGAAGACCACAGAGAGGTGGCTGGGGCCGAGGTGGGGTCCCTGGCATGTGGGGCAGTGGGGAGGCAAGGAGGGGCAGAGGCAGGCCCTGGCTTCTGGTGGCTGCTGATTCCTCAGGGCTCCAAAGGCCGAATTAGGGATCTGTCTTTGCTCGAAGCCTGTGGAGCTGTGGAGGGCTTTAGGGCAGGGAGGGCCACTGGTTTGTTTCTAGATCATTCCAGCTGCCATAAGGCCAGGCTGAGATGAGAAGGGCAGGCAATGAGGGAGGAACACTGCGGAGCAGGGGGCCTGGCATGGAGTCCCCCCATCCTCCAGCCCGCTCGGCCTTGCTGCCTGGGGCCATCCGAGAGCAGAGACTGAGAAGGGCCCCTGGGGATGGGTCCCTTGGGCCAGCTCTCTGGGTCCCTCTTTTTCTTCTAAGGAGTTTCTTTTGTTCCAGGTCGTGGAACAAAACCTGTGAGCTGGTCCCCGTGAGGCCGACATCCTGGGCCTGTAACCTGATCCTCGGAGCCCCAGATGTGAGTAGCCACCCAGGGAGGGAGCACGGGGTGTCCTTCCAGCAGCGGCCGCCATCTCTGGGTGGGCTGCGTGCCAGGGAGGAGCTGGGGCGGCTGCCTGGGGCTGAGGCCGCGCCCGAGGGCGCCAACCCGGGCCTGACCCCGGTCGAGGGATGCTGGCGTGAGGCGCCCGCCATTCTGCCTCCGCCCCGCTGTCTGCCCACGCTGTGGGGGTCCTGGGACACCCTGTGTCCCTCGTCAGGTGGGGAGCACCCCGGTAACAATGACGACGGCCACACCCGACTCTTCCTGGGGTCCTGGCAGGCAGGGCAGTGGGGGTCAACAGTCGGGATCACAGAGCAGGATGTTCCCGCCCTGGCTCTGCTCGCGCCAGCGGGGTGACGCTGGGCTCCCTCTGTGCCCCCTCTGTGCCCGTCTCCCCTTCTGTAAGACAGGAATAAGAGTGGTGCCTGCCTTGTTGGCTTATTCTGAGCGCTAAAGGACTCAGAATGCCACCCAGAACAGAGCACGTACTTGGCACTGTCGTCAGTGGGTGGGCATCAGCACTGTCCCCTTCTTACCCGTGAAGAAACTGAGGCCCAGAGAGCTGTGGTCCCTGCCCCCGGTATGCCATTGCCCCAGGCTGCCTCCTGCAGGGCGCATGGCCGTGCCCACGTGGGTGAGCACGGGATCCTGGCAGCAGCGGGCACCGGGGACGCCCAGACCACGTTGTCCAGCGTCGTCAGGTTACACGTATTCTCAAAGGGCGGGAGAATGGGAAGAGGGGCCGCACCGCGGAGCGATGACAGCGCAGCCTCTGGAAGCAGGTGCTGTGCCCATCCAGGGAGCTCTGCAGGGGGCCTGGCGTCCCAGCCTGGCTCCACCATTTCCTGGCTGTGTGACCTCAGGCAAGTACCTAAGCCTCTCTGGGCTTCAGTTTCCTCAGCCGGAGGATAGGACTAGTGATAGTGCCCATGCCTGAGGGTGTCAAGAGAACTGAATGAGCTAAGGTGTGTAAAGGGCTCAGCCGGGCACAAGGTGAGTGCTCGTAAGAATGCATTATTGGCAACGTCTTTACAACAGCAATAATAGCAATAATAATAATAATGATAATGCTATTGTTATCTGGGAAAGCATGGCCACGACAGCTGCTGTAAGCAGGCTAGGGTAGGGTCCTTGGGGTGGAGAGGGAGGAATTGTTTCCTGGCTGGCCACTTTGGGAAATCTGATGATCGGGTTTACTCATAGTAGGTCTTGTGCAGATCAGAGGGACTGTGCTCAGGGTGCTGGACCTGAAACCACCACCCGGACCCCCGGTCTTACCCACAGACCTGCCGTCATAGTGGGAGGCCGCCTGGGGCTGCCCTCCCTGCTGCCCTGGGTCAGGCAGGACAGGCCAGGACTCGGAGGTGCAGTTGCTTTGTGGGGCTGTGGACGCAGGGGCTGGGTTTGAACCTGGGCTCCCCTGCTGACCAGCGGGTGACGTTGGGCAAGTCCCTTGACCAGCGTGAGCCTCAGGCTCCTCACCCCACTGGGGGATGGACTGCTGCGTGCATCAGTGAGATTAGTGGCACCTGAGCAAGGACTGCCCACAGGATGCACTCAATACCTGGGCATTTCCTACCCGAAAAATCGGGGTGGTGGTGGGGAGAGATGGGGAGGGGAGACTTTCGCACTTGAAGTTATGAAACAGGAACAGTTCCAGATCTGCTCCTTTTTGGGGGCTCACCTGCTTGCATGCCTCTTGTGACAGGGAACTTCCTTCCTCCCAGGGCAGCTCACCTCACTTTAGATCATGGGTTGGTAAACTATGGCCTGTGGGCCAAATCCAGCCCACTGCCTGCATTTGTAAATAAAGTTTTATTGGAACACGGCCAGGCCATTTGTTTGCATGTTGTCTGTGGCTGCTTCACACCACAATGTCAGAGTTGAGTGGTTGTGACAGAGAACATGTGCTGCCCCCTGCTTTGGATGGCGGGGTTATGGAGGGCTCCTGGGTCCCCTGTCCTCCCCAGTGGCTGTCTCAACGGCTGGCCACTTCATCCCTGCCCTCCTGCCCCTGCAGTCTCAGTCGCTGACCGCAGCTGACACCGTCAACATGAGCGTGATGTGCCAGGAAGGGAAGCGGTGGAGCATGGTGATGAGCCAGGCCTTCAAGCCCTTTGAGAACCGTGAGTGGCGAAGCCAGCGTGGGGCTGGGGCAGGTCAGGGCCCCCTTTCCCTGCCTTTCCCTCTGGGATCCTTCCTGCCCTGGTCTCTCTCCCCACCAACCCCCACACTCACATCTGACCAGCTCACTGCCCACTGCCCTGGGCATGAAGTCCTGGCTCCTTACCCTGGCATTCAAGGCCACTCAGGATCCAGCCCCAGCCCTCCTCCCCGCACGCCTCCTCTCCGGCCTGTATTTCTGCTGCAAAGGCCAGACTCGCCTTGCCCGTTTATGCCTCTGAGCCCTCGCGTATACTGGTCCCGCTGCCTCAAAGGCTCTTCCCACCTGGAAAGTTCCCACTCATCCTTTAAAGCTCAGTGACGAGTCACCTCTCCCAGGAGGCCTTCCTAGACTCCCCAGGCCTTTGTACCTCCTCTTTCAGGGAATTTATGTCCTGGTTGTCACTTCCTGGTGTAGGCCTGTCTCCGTAGCTGGGCTGTGAGCTCCTTGAGGGCAGAATGTCTGCCACCCCTGTGTCTCCTTTCTGAGCACCCAGCACTAGGTCTGATTAGGACAATGCTCTGGGAAGCTTTGTTGAATGACCAAGTGCCTGTCCCCCACGCCCGACCTTGGGGACCCTCTCCAAGGAAGAGGTGGGATAGAAAGTGAGATCCAAGCAGGGTTCAAAGTGCACCTGCCTTAATTGGATGTGATCTGACAGGTGGACCATTTAACGTACCTGAGCCTCAGTTTCCTCGTTTGCAAAATGGAAATAATCAGAGTCACCTACTGCCCAGGCTTGTAAGACATCTTTGAGCCCAGGCACAGAAACTGCTTAGCGTGACGTCAGGGCTCGGTAAACATCCTATTACTAGGATGTGCAGTTCTGTAGGGCCTCAGAATTATAGGAACTGAGATCAATTTACCTTCAGAACCATAGAGTGTTATGATCATCACATTTAGGATGAGTGAGCCGATCCTCCTGAAACTCTTCGGTCAGTGCTAAGAGCAGAGGACGGCTGCCCTGACTCATCCCTGCAGCAGACACTAGGTCAGGTACCAGGGGATGTTCCGGGCACCGAGGACAGGGCAGGCAGCGAGTCCCTGCCCTCAATGAGCTCACAGTCTCGGAGGGAGACGGGAAATGAGCAAAGACCCAAACCATGTATTGGACGTGTCAGGTGGTGATGAATGCTGGGAAGAAAAATAAAACGGGTGAGGGGCTGGAGAGTGGTGGGTGGGCAGGGCGTGCTTCTCCGCACAGGCGAGGCTAGAGCGGAGGCCTGGAGGAGGGAGGGCGGGGCTGAGTCTGGGGGTGTGGCGGGCAGAGCGCACGGGAGGGGGACGGGCACGTGGCGCATGGCCGCCCAGCACCGGCGTCCTCTCCTCCCTCCATCCTGTCTCCAGTCCGCCTGATGGCCCCGGTCTCCCTTCAAGTCAGCCACATAGAGACCCGCAGATGCAACGTCACCTGGGCCGTCTCCCACTCCTCCCACTACATTGAAAGCTACTTGGAGTTTGAGGCCCGGACACGGTCCTCAGGCCAGAGCTGGGAGGTGAGTACGTGGCCCAGCCCCACCTGCCCGGACCTCTCCGTCCTGTTCCGGTCCCTCCCGTCCTGTTCACAGTCGTCTCAGTGGGGCCACCTCGGTCCCAGCGGGACAGTGGGCGCTGAGTCCCCCCACCCCCGCGATCCTTCCGTACTGCACACTCCCTCCACGTGCCCCTCTGACCCCGGGGATGCAGCTGGTGGCAGATCCCAGGCTGACGCCAGGGCAAGAGGCAGGCAACCGCCTACCCAGTGGATTCTGGGGAGCCGCCCCTCCGCACTGCAGGTCCAGCGGCTCCGTGTCCACGGGCATCCGTCGCTTATTCATTCACTTACTCGTTGCTTTATTTGCCCCGTGGTTCGCTCCACACGTATTCGCTGAGCACCTGCTCTGTGACGGGTGATGGGAGAGTGGGGGGCGACACGGCAGCCGCCTGCTCGCGGGAAGCTCTCCTTGCAGAGGCATCAGCAGGAGACCACGGGGTGTTGATCAGTCCCATCGAGAATCTGAAATGGGCAAGGCATTCGAGAGTGGCCGGGGCAGGCTCCACCAGCCTCGGGTGGCCAGGGGAGGCTTCTCCGAGATCTGGGCGTCAAGAAGGAGCTGACCCTGCAAAGACCTGGGGAGGGTTTTCCAGAAAGAGGGACCGGCCACTGCAAAGGCTGAAGGCTTGAGAGGTGGTGGCAGCTCAGACCTGGGGCCGGAGGGGAGGACAGAAGGGGAGGGGTCCAGACGGTTCTGGAGGCAGAAACAGCTGATTGGCAGACAGCGTGGGATGTGGGGAGGGGGGAGGGGGAGGGGTTTAGGACAGCCCTGGGGTTTGGGGACCCAGCAACTGGGGGGTCAGGGAGCCTTTGGGTGGGAGGGGAGGGGGGCTGTGGCAGGTGCAGATCAATGAGGGTGCTGCTTTGCTCAGCCTCCCGGCCCGGCCACAGGAGGCGTGGTGGGCAGTGGGGACCTTTCTGCCCTGACAGCCCCGTCTCTGCCCCAGGAGGCACCCCTGCTGACCATCAAGCAGAAGCAGCAATGGATCTGTCTGGAGACCCTCACCCCAGACACCCACTATGAGCTTCAGGTGCGGGTCAAGCCCCAGCAAGGTGACCACACGGTGTGGAGCCCCTGGAGCCAGCCCCTGGCCTTTAGGACGAAGCCCGAAGGTACTGGCAGGCAGCAGGGTGCGGAGGGGCTCCGGCAGGAGGGGGTGGCCGGGGCAGGGGAGGGGCTCCGGCAGGAGGGGGTGGCCGGGGCAGGGGAGGGGCTCTGGCAGGAGGGGGTGGCCAGGGCGGGGAGTGGGGCTCTGGGAACAACTGGTGGGGGAAGAGCTACCCTGCTCCTCCCTCCTGGGGGGTGCAGTGTCCATCTCCCTTCTTTATTGGCACGGGGCCCTTTGCAGATGGGAAACGGGGCTCAGTGAGTGGGCGGGACACACCCGTGGCCTTGTGAGTTGCGGGGTTGGGCGGAACAGCTCTTTTCACTTTTTTCCACCCTGAAACCTCAAACTCCTGGTTTCTGCCAGGGCTGGGGGTGGCTGCTTTTGCCTCACAGCCTTATCTGTAAAATCCGCACCGTGACCCCAGGCAGGGCCGCTGTGATGAAGGCACGCCATGCCCTGTCACCTGGGACGCGGCAGATGTGCTGGCGGCCCGTGCATCAGCACCTCACACTTGGAGTTCTAGCTCCAGCGAGCCCTGGGCTCTCCACGTGGTGCACAGAGGAGGGTGGAGGGCAGCCGGGTGGCACTGAGGTTGTGGCCCCGCCAGGTGGGCCCACATTATTAAAAGGATTTGTTTTGTAAAATTTGGATTCGGTCAAAAGGCAGCACTTAAGGATCCAGAAGGCCACATGTGGCCCCAAGGCTGCATGCCCACCCCGGGATGTCATTTCATGTGAGCATCAAATCTGGCTTCCCAGAGAATTGGAGCAGAACCCAGGCAGCAGCCCGACCCCGAGCCCCTGGGCACAGGCCTGCTGGCAGAGCCGGAACAGGCAGGGCGGGGCACCGAGCTGGGGCAGGGCGCTGAGCGACCCGGTGGGTGGGGGCCCTTCTCTAACCCTCTCCTTGCTGCTCCCCCTGCCAGCAGCCCCCAGGAAGGAGACTCCGCCCCTCCCTTGGTTCGGCCACGTCATGGGCTTTATAGGTGCCTTGGGCTTCATCATCTTAGTCTACTCGCTGATCCACTGCCGCTCCATCGGGCCGTGGTAAGAGAGCTCTGCCCTCCCTCTGCTCCCGTCTGACACTCTCGCACACTCGCGCCGCCTTGCAGGGTGAGGCTCTGCGCCGAGCCCGCCCTGACACTCCTGCGCTTGCCCTGCCCTCCCGGGAGTCCTTCCTGCCCGGCGCCCCCACAGGTGGAACCCCAGGGAACCAGCCCAAGGGAGTGGGTGGTGAGGGAGCCCCTGGGTCCTGCCTAGAGTACTCAGGACTTGAGGATGTCGAAGGACGGTAGCAGTGTACAGTCGTCCCCCAGTGTCCCCAGGGCCTGGCTCCAGGGCTGCCTGAGGACACCCAAGGCCAGTGGATGCTCAAGTCCCTGACACAAAATGGCATACCTGCTGTTTGCACATAGCCGGTGCACGCCCTCCACATGCTCTAAATCATCTCTAGCTCACTCTCAACACTCAGTACAATGTAAATACTATGCAAGTAGTTGTTATACTGTATTTTAGAAATTTGTATTATTTTTAATTGTAGTGTTGCTATTTTGGGTTTTTCCCCCAAATATTTTCAATCTGAGGTTGGGGGAATCGTGGACGCAGAGCCCTCAGATGCAGAGGCCTGGCCGTGCTGGGAGCAGGCAGCAGGGAGGGGAGCCCTGGCTGGGGGTGGCAGGGGGAGTTTCCCCGAGGAAGTGATGATTCTCTTGAAATCCGCAGGAGCAGCTCGGCAGGTGGGGCGGAGGGGAGGGTGACATCCCAGGCAGGAGGCAGCATGTGCGAAGGCCCTGGCAGGAAGGATGGAGGAACATTCCAGGAACGGGGTGCAGGGAGGCTGGTGTGGCGGAGACCAGAAGCGGGTGGGGACAGGGCTGAACTTGAGCCCGACCTGTGGGCGGCAGTCAGGCTCCCGGGCCTTGGGCTGCGGCGAGACCGGAGCTGTGCGCTGCGGCCGGCCGGGGCAGGTTGTCCGCAGGAGCGGGGCGGGCTCAGCTTTGCTGGCTGTGGCTCTGGCCCTTGTGTGGCCAGTGGCCTGGCGCAGGGCAGGGTGGGGAGGAAGTGACGGTTCTCCCCAAGGAGCTCCCGCCCCTCTCAAGAGGAGAGACGCACTTTGCGTTTGCAGGTGTGCCCAGGTGCCCCGTCTCCCTCGACTCCATGGCACCGGAGGGTGGGAGTCAGGGGCCTCCATGCCCTTTCAACCGATGCCACTGTGGGCCAGGGAAGCCAGCTGACTTGCCCAAGGTCACACACACAGCAGTGACACGAGGCTGGGGCAGGAATGCCACTCTCCTGACCCCGGTCCTGGAGTGGTGGCTCTGAGCGGTACCCCAGAGCCATTTCCCTCTGTCTCCCAAGAAGACAGGCATTCCTCTCCCCACCCACGTCCTCCCAGCTCCCGCGGGCCTCAGGGAAACCTGCTCCCGCTGAATACCTTGCTCCCAGACAAGGGGAGGGACCCCGCACCCGCGTGACTGCAGCAGCCTCCTCACTGCCCAACTCAGTGCCATCACCCTTGCTCCCCTTCAGTCCACGCCTAACCGTGTAGCTCCCGTTTAACACTCTTCAGAGGCCGCCCATCCACCTGGAACGCGCCCTGGCCCTCGAGGGCGTCCCTGTGTGGAACCTTTGTACAAATCAGAAAATGGCGTTCCCGTCTCCAGGCAGCGGCATATAGGTCCTGGGTGCTCGACTTGGCGAGTAGAACGTGGGCTGCAATTCAGCCCCACTCACCATCCCCATCCCCCAACGCCAAATGGCCTTGGGCAGTACACAACCTGCACCACCCTCCATGGCAGTCCTAGCTAGGCCTGTCTCCTCCCTCCCTCCCCGGTTCACTCTCCTCCAGCCTCCTCCATCCCTGACTGCTCTGGCTGTGCAGCTCCTCCCTGAGTGGCAACATTGCACACTTGCTCCGTGTCTTCCCATCAGAATGGCAGCGCCTCGAGAGAAGCGACCTTCTCTGTTGGCCACCCTGTGCCCAGCGCCCAGCACAGCGCCCTCCCATGGCGGGCACCCTGTCAATATTGGCTGCATAAATGAAGGAGCGTGGCATGGCTCTGTGCCCTGCCTCCCACCTGTGGGGCAGATGGCAGGACACCTCGGCCCTTCCTGCGCTCACCCTCCCTCCTCTCTTCTGTGCAGGCTGAAGAAGGTTCTGAAGTGTCACATCCCAGACCCCTCCGAGTTCTTCTCCCAGCTGAGCTCAGAGCACGGAGGCGATCTCCAGGTAGGAGGCTGGAGTGGGGGACGGAGGCGGGCCGTGGTGCAAGTGGGGTGGGAGGCGGCGTGGGAGTAGCCAGTTTTGTGCTTGGTGAGAAGAGACAAAATGCTGAAGCAAGCAGCCTTCTGGAAGATGTGGCACCTTCCCTCTGAGCCAGATGCCTGGGTTCTAATCCCAGAGCCACCACTTCCTGGCTGCATGACCTCGGGCAAGTTACAGAACCTCTCTGTGACTCAGTTTCCTCACCTGTAAAATGGGGAGAAGAACAGTGTTACTATGTGTATTGCCCTGAGCAGTCTGCCGGGCACAAGTAAGAGCTCAGGGGACCCTCGCTGGAACTACTGTCACCAGTCTGCTGACCCCGAGGGGCTTGTCATCGCAAACCCTCTCCACCCCACCGCCTGCGCGCACAGGCTCTGTGGGGTCAGTACTTCCCCCGAGTTTGCCCAGAATTCCCGGGCACAGATACGAACAAGTCCTCTAGCCACTCGAGTCACAAAGCACAGACTCATTGTAAAGGTGCAGGCCCACAAGCGGTAACACCCGAACTCCATTGCGAGGTGTCATCTCCACCCACCCCCAGCCTACACCTGCTCCAGGAAGGAGCCTTAAGAGGAGAGCGCAGTGGGGGCTGCTTCTAGCCCTCTGGCCCCACTCTAGGCTCCCAGGATTGGGAGGTGGGGGCAGGGGCAGAAGGAGTGGTCAGGGGCTGGAGGCCACGCCGGACCCGGGGCATCCGCGGTCAGCTTTGCAGTTCTCCATCAGGACTGATCCAGGGCCCCTTCTGAAACTCTTTGGAAAACTCCCGAGACTAAGGCTCTCTTATCTATGGTATTCTTGATGTGGGGGAATGTATATCCTTAAAATTCTTCCCTCGGCCACGAAGGTAGTGAGGTCCCCATCGATACAGGCATCCAAGCAAGCCTTGGGTGACCATGTGTCAGAAACCTGGCAGAAAGGATTCCAACATCGAAACCAGCTAGAAGCTGGCACAGGTGCATCCTCAGATCCCTTCCAGGTTCAAGGCCTGATTCTGTGGGCCTGGGTGGGCTGGGGTCTTTTCTGCAGAGCTGCAAACTGTTCTGTCTCCCCACGAGGTCGTCCTGGGCCTAGACGCTTGCCCTGGCCTGGCATGAGGAAGGTGTCCCGAGAGGCCCAGAAGGCATGATGTGGCTGAGGGTTGGGGCTGGTCTGGAGGGAGCCCCCCTCTCGCACCTGGGACCCCGCTCCCGGCCACAGGACCTGCCACCGTGTGCAGGGACCGCAGGCATGTGCGTGCCGAGTGGGAGTGTGGTGAGGGGCACGAGCCGCTCCGGGGCCCCACGCAGGGCCCTGTGGGCAGAGCTCAGGCCCAGGAAGTGGCTGACCACACACAGCCCAACAGGGCCCGTGGGCCCCTGGGTGCCGGTGCTGGCCACAGGCCCGGCCTCTCCCTCTTCTGGCTTCACGCTCCGGCGGCCGCCTGGCGGTGGCCTCTGCCTGTGCTCCAGGGTGGCCAGCCTCGCTGACCCACACTTGCCCTCCCTTCCCAGCCGGCTGGCGGTCGCTCTGCCATCGTCAGTGTGCCCATTCTGTCTCCCCCACGTCCTGGGCTGGGGCAGGGGCGGATTTCACGGAGCCGTGTGCACACGTGTGTGCGGGCGTGTACGGGGAGCAGCCGGCTCCGCCCCAGGGACTGCCGCTGCGGAGGGGAGCCAGGGTGACGCTCTGCTGGTCCGTTGCTCCACCTGAAACGCAGACCAGACGCGGAGCTCAGGGCGTGCCGAGGGCCCCTGGCACAGAGGGCAGGCGGGGCTCTCCACTCACCACCCCACCTCTGCCGTGCAGCCTGCATTTTTCCCTGTGCCAGGCGTCTCCACGTTCGTTTTCTTATTTGACATCTCCCTGGCGACCCAATAGATAACAGGGAGGAAGTCAGAAAAGAGGTGGCTGAGTATTGTGGAAACTGAGGCTCAGAGAGGTGCAGTGGGCAGCCCGAGATCACACAGCTAGTAGGTGCCAGGGCCGGGGCTGGAGACCGGCTCATCCCGCTCCTTACCAGGGCTCTCTGGGCTCCCGAGCAGCCAAGACGGGCTCTGGCCGGCACTTTCCTCTCTGTGCAGGGAGGGCATGGGGGGTGCAGGGCACGGGAGGGGCTGGTGAATTGGGGGCCATCAGCTCCCCACAGAGATGTTTCCACCGCAGCAAGCAGGGACCTGGGCCCAGCTCTGCCACCAGCTAGGCTGCAACTGGGTCTCAGACACGTCCCTTCACTGGGCACCCAGGAAGTGAACAAGAGGTGCTCAGGGCCCCTCCTTCCTTGGCGTTGGTCGGTTGATTCACACGTTCGTGCAAGTCCCCACCAGACACTGAGGATCCTTTCCTTTGCTGTGTCCCCATCACCTAGAACAGTGCCAGGCTCACAGCAGCACACAGGTGCTGGCAGCAGGTGCGAGGGGGGAGTGTGGGGTATAGTCAGGGAGGGCTTCCTGGAGGGGGAAGAGGAGTTAGGAGTTTTTGTTGAGTATGGAGGAGGCCCCCACTCACCTCCTGCCTTTCTCCTGGCAGAAGTGGCTCTCGTCGCCCTTCCCCTCGTCCTCCTTCAGCCCTGGGGGCCCCGCGCCTGAGATCTCCCCGCTGGAGGTGCTGGAGCGGGACGCCAAGGCCGAGCAGCTGCTGCTGCTGCAGCAGGACAAGCTGGCCTCGCCCCCGCCCTCCGCCGGCGGCCACTCGCAGACCAGCTGCTTCACCAACCAGGGCTACTTCTTCTTCCACCTCCCGGACGCCCTGGAGATCGAGGCCTGCCAGGTGTACTTCACCTACGACCCCTGCACAGAGGAGGAGCCTGAGGAGGGCGCGGGCGGGCCTGGGGTGCCCGCGTGGCCGCCCCTCCCGCCCCTGCAGCCTGTGTCGGGGGAGGACGATGCCTACTGCACCTTCCCCCCCGGGGAGGACCTGCTGCTCTTCTCCCCCAGTCTCCCTGGCCCCAGCCCCCCAAGTACTGCCCCTGGGGGCAGTGGGGGTGGTGAAGAGAGGCTGCCCCCCTCCCCGCAGGAGGGGGTCCCCGGACACTGGGCCCCTCAGCCCCCCAGGCCTCCCACCCCAAGAGCCCCCGACCTGGCGGATTTCCAGTCCTCCCCAGAGCTGGTGCTGGGAGAAGCTGGGGAGGAGGTCCCTGTCCCCGATCCTGGGCAGGGGGCCGGTTTCCCCTGGGCCTGCCCTCCTGGACAGGGCCAGGACAGAGCTCCTTCCTCCCACCTGACTCCAATCACTGATGTCTACCTGTCCCTCCAAGAACTCCAGGATCAGGACCCGGCTCACTCGGTGTAGACAGATGCCCAGGGGTGGGAGGCAGGTGGCTGCCTGCTGTTGCACCAGCCCTAAAGGGGGCCCAGTTGCCTCCTGGACGTCTCCACCCAGATGGCCCCCAGCCCCGCACACTCGGCCCATCCACCTCCAAACCTCAGTTGCTGCTCCCTGGTCCCGCTGCCCAAGCCAGGAACTTCGGGGTGGTGGGGGCAGTTGACTCCCCACCTCCCTGTTTAATCACGGAGCCCCACGATCTTTGTCTCTGGAGCATCACTCTGTGCAGCCTGCAGCTACTTGCTGACATGAGTCCTTGTGGCTCTCCAGGGTCTTCGCCTCCACCTCTTCCCTGGGTTTCCTGGCCTGGCCTCACCCTCTCCCAACCACCCTGCACAGGGCAGCTAGAGCGTGCTGTCCACGACGCAAACATGGCCATGCTCTCCCCCAGTGGAAAACCCTGCCGTGGCTCCCCTCTGCCCTCAGCACCACTTCTTGGTCTGGCACTTGCCCCTCCAGCACCGTCGGGACATTCCCTCCGGAACCCTCACAACAGTCCTCCTGAGCCACCTGGAGCTGCCTCACGCTCCCCCGCCTTTGCACCTGTTGTTCCCTATGCCTGGTGTGCCCTCGATTTCGTCTAGGACAAGCTCCCTTATCCTTCAAGCGTCGGGTCTGCTTCCCCTGGAGGGAAGCGCTGCCTCCCGTGATGTGCCAAAACGACCAGCATCCGTGCTGGAAGGAGAACCTCTCAGGGTCCCAGGAAGGCTGGAGAAAGAGGATCTGTCACTTCTCCCTTGGGATCTCTTAGACCCAGAATGCTTGGCTGCTGCATCCTTGATGTTATCGCCTAAGTACGGATGCAAATCCCCTCGTCAAGCGGATACCTGCTGGATCTTTCTGCAATGCCTTCACACACGCATGAGGGAAGCGGCTGGAAAGCAAACCCTGGGGTCTGAGCAGCCCAGGCAGCAGCCCCTTCTAGTGGCAGGTCCCGATGCCACCAAGGCGAGCCCACGCCGGGCCCCTCCCGCTCCATCCTCCCCCAGAGGGGCCTCCTCTGCTGGCGCACCGGCCTCCAGAAGGGCGGCTGCACAGGGCAGGGCCCCAGTGCGTTCCTCGGAGGACTTAATGGACCCTCTGGCCCCACCCTGCTGGGCTGTCTGCACCGGGCTCCTTCACGCAGAGGTGCAGGGCCCTGCATGAGGGTTCCGCCACCACCCCTCCACTGCTCTTCCCTCTGCCCCAGCACTGATTACGGCGGGATGGCTGTCACAACCTGCCGCCCCAGAAAGGTGCGGACTCAGGCCCAGCTAGCTCTGACTCAGGAGTGCTCGGTGCCTGCATTTACAGGCCCTGCGCCCAGCTAATTGGGCACCCGACCACAAGCCCGCCCATAGGCGGGCAGCAGCCTATGAAGTGGCTTGGCACGAAGCTCTGTCCAATCAGGGAGGCCAGACCTGAGCTAGCCAATCAGATCACCTCTCAGTCTTGGGCATTTGGACTCAGGGAGGCCCCTGGGAACAGGTGCTCGTGACCAAGGACCCCAGGAAATCGTAGGCAGGAGCTGAGCCACGTGAGCAGGGGACCCTGGACTCCCCCAGTAGAGAGAAGCTCCCTCCTACGGCTGAGGCGCCACTGGTCATTTGGTCAGGATTCCTGTTTCCCCGATGCCCCAAATAAACGCCGCTTTCTACAAGTTGCCTGAGTCTCGGGTCCTTACCTTGGAAAGGGCTTAATTACCCGGCACCACCTGCCATAAGATGCCGCGTCTTCCAGGCCGCAGGGCTCCGCGGTCCCAGCCTGCCAGTCAGACCCGCGCCGCGTGCGCACGCCTTTGCTGTGCGTTCTGGGGCAAACTACCAAACACCTCTGCAAGTCAGTGTCCCCATCCCAAAATACTACCTGCCTGCTTCACTCTGAAGAGTGCTCGGAGGGTTACGTTTCTCAGGTCTTGGTCATTTATGAGACATATACATATATATATATCTTTTAATGAGCTGGGTGTACTACCTTTGTTGTTATTTTTCTAATATTTTTCTTTAAATCAATTTACTTTTTTGTTTAAATGCGTTTATTTAAGGAAAAATCTTTATATTGCTTCTGTAAATGGGAAAACAAATTTTCACTATAACTAAAAGGTACCTGTACAAAATAAGTACAATAAAACAAAATAATGTTGAAATTCATTGTCTGCTGGAAATCTGTTGAGTTAAAGGGGAAATTAACAAGTGTTGGGAAGTGTTGAAAACATACCAGCACCAAATGGAAAATTCCTCCCTGAGAGGAAGCAAAAGGATTGTAAAGGGAACAGCTTTTTGACAAGGAGGAGAAAGGTTTATCTTATTCTGTCTCCAGGCATCATCTGACCTCATCTCATGGCCGTACGTCACAAGTCTACGCTTGGGAAAACACTGCACTTGATGATGGATGTGTATATATGTTTTTTCAATGCTCTGGAAAAAACAAGTGGGACCAGATCATGCGTGGCGATTCCTGGCATTCATAAAGCCACATTCTCGGCAAGCACTGCTGATCGACTGCACACATGCACGCAGACATTTCTCATTGACCACAGCCCTCCTTCCTGCAGAGCCGGGTGCAGCTTTATATTCTGAAATGCTGTGCTGTAGGCAGCCCCCAGCTGATCGGAGCTGACACCTGGTGGCATCTTGGACCTGGACCCCATACTCCCTCGGGTTCCTTCCACAAATGGAGCTCTTATGTTTCCCAGCTCTGGTTTTCCAGGCAGGGAAAACAGGGCTGAGATGACAGAGTCTGGAAAGCTGAGAGGGCCGGCGAGCAGGCAGGACCAGGGAGCCCAGCTGTCCCCACCGTGTCTGATGAGAGACCTGAGCTGGCGGCGGGGGGGGGGGGCCGAGTCAGGGGTCACCTTACACCAGGTGGAGATGGAGCGATGGGCCAGCAGCCACCACGTGTCACATCTGGTGTGGATCCTAGTGTGGACCTCGGGCAAGGGGACAAAGAGGGAGCAGCTGGCAGGGGTGGAGGAGACACAGACCTACTTGGGTCACATTGCAGGAGGGAGGGGCAGCACCAGCTGGGGACCAGGCAGCAGCCGGGGGCCCTGGAGAACCATCAGGTGGAGAGCAGCGGGAAGGAGGTGGCCAGGGCAGATAGGGGATGAGAGAAAAGGGATGAGAGGTGGGAGGGCCTTCCCAATCCACCCACCTCCCAGCTTCCTCTCTAAGCAACTTCCGTGCCCACAGTTCCCAAGCACGTTATGGCGGACCCCATAGGTCCTGGTCTAGGATGAGTTGCCCACCGCCGTCCTCCTCTTCACCGCTATCCTGGCTACTGGGGCGTGCGGGGAGATCAAGAAGCACATTAAAAGGAATAGGAGAACTAATGCCCACATTCCGGACACTGTGCCAGGCACTGAGCATCATCTCTTGTCTCCTGGACGACTCTGAGAGGCAGGCATTTTGTTGCCCATTTGGGGCAACAAAGGAAACTGAGGCTTGGGGAGGTTAGGAAATATAGCTGCTGGCTGGTAGAGCCGGGAGTCAATCAAACACGGGCGCAAATTTGGCTCCAGAACTTTTGGCCCTTTGCAAATACAAGGCTGCATAGAAGACAGTGATACTAATGGAAAAAAACTAGCAAAGCTCCACTCTAACCCTCCTAGTAGACAATTTAGAAAAGAGAAGAAGAAAAAGGAGTGATCGACCCCTGACTGTGATTGTGGGAAAAGAGAAAAGCCCTTTGACCAGCTCAGCGGGTGGATGGGCTGAGTGGCCGGGAGGGGTGGTGAGGGCCCGTTGGCTGGTCAGGCCCTGCCTTCTCCTTCCTCCTGCCTGATTGAGCCTCCTGCTGCTGCCTCCACCCTTCCGGCTAATCCAGTGTCCCACTGGGCCAGCATTTCACTGGCTGTCCCCGTCCCCACCCTTGTGAACCCTGTGCCACTGACCCGGCACCATCACCTCTCCTCGGATCCCTGGTCAGCCTCTTTCTGGGTCCACCTGTCCCGACCACCTGCCCCTTTAACTCTTCCAACCCTGGGTCACATCTGGCCACACCATGCCCATGCATCAACCTCCAGTGATCCCTGTTGTTTTCAAGACAATGAAGTCCCTAATGTGACAGCCCATGCCTTGGGGGACCTAGGGGAAGTCCCGTCTGTCCTCAGTTGTCCCATCTGTGAAGTGGGCAGTCAGATGGGATGATCTCTAAGTGCTCTCCTGGCCCTGACACTCTGTGTTTCCAGGTGACACACGGAACGTGGCTTTAGGCTGGAACTATATTTCACCTCAAAAGTTGGAGGCTGGGGGTGAGGGGTGGGGATGACTGTTGGGACCACAGCTGACTCATTCGCTTTGGCCCCTGCTAACCCCTTGGTTTGAAGCAGTCCTGCTGCCCAAACAATCTCCCCTCAGACTCCTACACATCCCTCAGAACCCCACGCCAGCATCTGCAGTTCTGGGAGTCCCTCTGATTTGCCCCAAGTAGGATCGATTACTTCCATATACTGTTGCCTTCCTGAGCTACCTCTGTTACAACCATCTGTGGGCCAGACCCTGGGCTGGATTCTGGGGACATGGGGGTGACAATAGCTGTGGAAGAAAATCGGCCAGAGCTGCTTCAGTACAGCGTTTGTTCAGAAATGCCCAACAAGACTCTGAAGGAGCCGTTAGCTTGGAGAAGGAGGGTGGAACACTGCACGGGGCTCTGGCGAGGGGCTCAGCCAGGGCTCAGCTAGTCTGGGATCTAGTCGGTTGAGGAGGGTTTTTGGAAGAGTGAGGAATTGTTCTTGAAGATTAGCTGCCACTGTTTGGCGATTTGGATTTTATCAGTGGGCAGGTGGGAGGGACGGCTGTGGGGACAAGGACCCGTGAGGGCCACAGTGGAAAGTTTGCCGTCCTTCCGGGTCTCTTCAAGAGCTGCATTTATTGAGCATTTAGGTGCATCAGACTGTTTTCTAAGAACATTGTGGTATTAACTCATTTGATCCTTATAAAACTGCCGCAGGGGAGGTACTATTCTTAGCCCACTTATAGATGAGACTAAGGATCAGAGTGGTTAAGTGACTTGCCCACAATCACACAGCTACAACACAGTGAAGTAAGGAATTAAACCCAGGCAACATTTAGCACTCACATGGGCACAGCTCTTTACAGCTTTGAGAGTGTGCACACAACTAGCATTTCATGCCCTGTTGTGGAAACCTAGCAAGACAGGAATGACAGCAATTCCGAGTCCTGTTTTGCAGTTGAGGTTAGGAGGCCCTGAGAGGTTGGCTCCCTGTCCCAGGCCTCACAGCGAGCTTGGTAGAGGGGGAGGGGGTGTTGATTAAATTTGGGCTCACCACCAGCACGGAGGCCTGGCCCCTGCGACAGCCTGGGGACATCCCCTTCGCTGACTTGCTCAGACATTTTCCACCAGCAGGGCGATGACACACAACCGGCGCTCCCATCGCAGAGCCGGGTGGGGGGGCTGGGGGAAAGCAAGGCAGGAAGCGCTGAGCGGTGAGAGGCGCAGGTGGGGGGTACCCGGTCTCCGGTTCCAGGAAGCCAGGACGCAGAGGGGAGGGGGGGGCTGGCAGAAGGTGCATCATCTTCCATTCCTCCGTGCCATGTGCAAAGAGGAGGCAGGCGACTGCCCTGTCTACAGAGTCCCTAGCCTCGTGGGGGAGGGAGTGGCCGGGGAGGACGCAGGCAGGTAAACCAGCAGTCACACCCGGTCCCGTCTGCACAAGTCTTTGTTGGGAAATCTCCCGTGAGAACATTGCAAAGGAGCCTTCTACCTGGGGAGCCCGGGTGGAGTGCTGGCCGGGGCTTCCGCGAGGGGCCCCCCGCCAGCGTTCCACCAGTTTGGGAAAAGGTTGAGGACGGTTCTTGAAAGAGGGAAGCATTGCTCATTCATTTATGCACTCACTCAACAGACATTTAGGAGCGCCTATTACGTGCTCTGGCAGTGACAAAACCTCCGCCACCCTGCTCCTGCAGCCCCCTTGGAGCCTCAGTCGCCTCATCTGTAAAGTGGGGCGAAGGGCACAGAGAAGGGGGATCTGTCTTACTTCTAAGGTCTCTTTTGGCTGAGCTAGTCTGTTCTGTGGCCTCTGGAAGGATGGGGAGGGGACTCTGCTCACTCTTTAAAAAGACACAGCAAATTTGTGCCGGGAGTCTTTCCCCAACCCCCATCTCAACTTTAAATTCCCTGGGCAAGGCACTGCTTAGAAGAACCCAATGTGACATGTTCGTTATAATGTGCTTATTGAAATCCTACTATGTGTGCCGGATGGTTCAGACGGGGCATTTGGATCTGAGGGAGCTGGGATTGTTTGAACAGGCTTGGCATGGGCGAACCCCAGTGTCTGGGTGGGTGTCCCCGGCCAGCAGAGCACTGATTCTTGCAACAGTTTGTGTAGGAGGCCGTCTGCTGTGACGCTGGTCAGAGCAATCAGCCAGGAACAGAATACGTTGGCAAGAGAGTTCTGTTGCTTGTGATTTATGCAAATCTGAAACTAACAATGAAAGCTTTACTGCTGGGATCCCAAACCCAGATGCTGACGGGGGCTGGAGGTTGGGTAGCTGATATAAATAGCAACAGTGATAACAATGGTTACAGCGATGAGTAGTAAGCACTTAGCAGGTGAGGCACGGTTCTAGGATCCTCACATAGGTTATGTCTTTTAATTTCCACAACAGCACTTAGGGTTATTGTCTCATTTTCTCTATGAGGAAACAGAGGCGCAGCGAGATCAAATAGCCTGTAGCTCAAGGTCATGTGGCTAACGAGTGGTGGAGCCAGGACTTGATCCCAGGCTTCCGGCTCTACAGCAGTGTGTGACCCACGCAGTGTGATGCCGTAGGGAGTGGGGGGGTTTGCGGCAAACTGAAATTGCTCCAGGGCAGCCGCCGCTGATTGTTGCCATGTCGGGAGGCAGACTAGATCTTCTAAATTTTTAAGAGAGGCAGGAAATTCCGCCTCTTATGCAAAGCATCCTTATTTTTAAATATTGGCCGCTAATTTTAAAAATCGAAGATA